TAAATTATTATGTTACTATTCTTCTTTTTTTTTTTACTCGTACTATTATTGTTGCTATTCATTTTTGTTATTATGATTATTACGAATACATTCTTGTTGTTCTTGATAGTATTACTCTTAGTAATAATGTTATCATTGACAATATCACTCGTATGATCACATGTATTAGTCTTCCTAGTATTCGTTTCATTACTCTTGTTACGATTATTACTACTACCGTTATGACTCTCATAATTTTTCCTACCATTTTCTAGTCTTACTATTATTCTTGTGTTATTATTGATTCCATTATCATTGTCATTGCTAAGGTTATTCTTACTTCCATTGTTGCTATTCGTATTTTCGTTACTATCATTTTTGTTTTATGATTACCAGTATCAATTCGACTATTATTATTGTTATCATTCCCCCCAGATACTACTGTTATTAAGTTCATTCGCACTATTCCTGTTACTCAGGAATTTCGCTACCATAACGACCTCCAACCTGATATGTTATAGGTTAGGAGGTCTCCATAAACGGACGGAGAAGAACATGGAAAGTGCAATCGCGACTACAGTCATATGGAGGCTTTTATCAGGATTAACCAGATAGATAGGCGTGGTTCCGTTTATAGGGATTCGAGAATGGAGGTCACATGAAAAGGAAAACGGAAAACATGGAAGCCCGGTTTAGTAATGGGTGTAGGGATATGAGCCCAACAAGGGCGAACCAAATCGAAGGGAGACTTGAGAATGGAATGGAAGCTAAGGGGGGGTGTGAATGGTACAGGGAGCAGATTGCTGTAGTTGATCACTCCCGAATCGGTACGGGAGGATGTCCATCGTACGCAGAACATCATTGTTTATATATATCCCGTGCATCGTCAGGGAGAAGCAACTCTTGCAGAGATGAACCGGCCATAGCAACACTGGGAATGTATTAGGAATATCTTGAAAGCAAAATTGAGGCTTTAGGGTTTTTCTTCAAGGAAGGGGTTCGCACAACAAGTGGATCTTCAAGGCTAATTTGCCTCAAGATAGACTTATACAAGAGTAAGCCGCATGTAAAACTGTACCTTAAACCCCAAGCCCTGATGAGCCCGAAGCCCTAAACCCTGAACAATCAAAACTTGCGACAGCTCTTCACCCTGAACAAATGAGGTGTGACCTCTTCGAATTCGCAGCTGCCAGCACGTGGGCTGCAGACTTGGGAGGATACCTTGGCAGTTTTCATTCGTCATTTGAGCTACAGTCTAAACTCCTTAAAGGGGGGTTATAGGGGATTATATAGGGGACTACTATAGGGGTTGTTAAGGGGGATACTAGGAGTGTAGACTATGGCTCATTTGCACTTGTGCGCCTTCCTGCAAATCGTGCCTGCTGAAGTTCGCTTCGAACGTCTACTGTCGTTTCCTGCATAGCTCAAATCTTGCTTTGGAAGTCAGACAGACACCTGAGCCACACAAGCTTGCGTATTGGCAGCTGTGCAGGCATTATAAACCCTTATGTCAACTCACAGAGATGTCAGTACTTCTGCAAATTAGCCTACTTAGCCGCATGCGTGGGCTTACAAGGAAAAAAAGCTAGGGCCCCCCTCGATGTTCTTGACTATCTCTAATGTACTGCTTTGGGCAATGAATCAAGGGGACTTAGTAAGTCTACTTATAACTTACAACTTATAACTTGTACAGGCCATTTAATAAGCCCAGATATCTCAATTGGTAACCCAGTTTCTAAGTCCCCTTGACCCTCCAACGACTGAAAACAAAAGCGAAGGCTAGAAGCCCAAAGCATTTTGTACTACACCATTTCAGACAGATCCACATGTTGAATCCTACAGGAGTCCAAGCAGCATGAGATGAAGGCAAATGAAATCTTAAACGGCCTGTAACCCTGTACTTTGTATACCCCAAAGCCCTAAACCCTTAACCCCGAACCCTCAACATCCCTCAACCATGTAACAGTGAGAAGGACTGAAATATTAGTAGCAGTAATACTAAAAGTAAGGAAAATTGCCGTAATAATATTGTAGCAAAAATGTAGTAATAACAGTAATACTAATAGTCAAAATAGTAATAGTAACAGAAAGTAATGAAAGTACTTTTGTTGTGAGGTCGCAGTACACTGGTGTCGGCCTGGTGATTGACCAGGTGCCCTTTTGTCGGAATTTCTCAGAATGAGGGACCCTAAGATAGCCCAGGGGTCTATAGGGAAGCATAGGGAACATAAAGGGTTTCAGGATTTAGGGTTTAGGGCTTAGGCTTGGGTGCTTATCAAGGACTATATAGAGATCATTGTAGGATATATCCGAGTAAGATCATGTGAAATGACATCGTCACCTGTTCAGACATTGTGACATGCGTGTGGCACCATACTTGGGGTCTGATGCTTGGCAGATATAGTCCCCCTTAAGTAGATAGAATGTGGCTTCGGGAAGATTATGAACAGATCCCCATATACCCCATATTCTATCTGCTTAAGGGGGACTATGAGTTCTGAACATGGCGGGTCCCTTCTTGTATTTTGTTCAGTTGCGCTCCGAGAATTTAAAAGGGGTTGTCGCATGAATAAGGGCTAGCGTATAAGGTGTAGAGCTGGGCATCTAATGGTTCTGGAAAAACCCTATGTTCTATCTTTTCATTCAATCCCATAATCCGTGATGCTAAGCCCAGAATTCCTTGTATTGTCGCCAGGTGGAGAGCATCCTGACCAACAGGACAGGTTTAGGGTTTAGGGTTTCAGGTCTTGGGTTAAGGGCTCGGCTTTAGCATGCGAAATAGTTCCAACAGGCCCAGAAACCACAGATCCTTCCCAAACCAAATTCCTAAGCCCTACACCCTAGATGATAAACCGTAGGTTTCAACTCGAGGTTTTTGTGGTTGTAGGTGCTATGATTTCAGGTTTGGGTGTGAAGCCTTCCTATGAAGTTTTCGTTGTTCTGTTAGTCTTTTCCCTTGAAATCATCTCCGGCGCACAAAGCCCCAACCCTAAACTTTGCGAAGGTTCCGCTGCGCTTAGCATCAACTATGCTTTGGCTGACAAAAGTCGGAGGGCAACCGTAAACCCTTAACCCTAAAACCTAAACCCCTAACCCTAAACCCTAAATTGATTGAAGGACAGAGATGCGCGCGAAGCTAAGGGCAGATCTGGAGGAGCAGCCCGCGCCTGAGGGGTTAGGGTGTACAGCTTGGAGTCACATACCGAAAGTATATAAGGTTATATAGGGGGAATATTGAGCTTATAGAGGGATAATGGAAAGGAGAATGGAAGCTACCATTTAGGGTTTAGAGTTGTTCTCAAAATTCTGGGCCCCTGTTGGCTAGAGATTATATTACGGCACCTATTTTTTAGGGGTACCAAAATAGGACCTTTAATTTTGGGAACCACCCAAGTACCCAAAAGGTCCATAGGGGTTGAGGGTTGTGGGCTTCGGCGCTATTCACAGCGGCACCCCAAATCCAATTTAGATCACGTCGGTGCCTATTGGTTTGGTACAACCCTGTGCCGGAAGAATCCAGAATGGATGGTTTAGGGCTTCCTTCCTCATCAAGTCCTGACGGTGGTATACTGTAGAACTGGTATAATGTGGAAGTCTGAAGCATCACGAATGTGATTCCTTTGAGGTCTTTCTAAGATTCTAGTATAATCTACCCCACTGACCCACTCTAAGCAACTTGGTCCTACAATATTTGCATGCCGAACTGTGCCTCAGAGAGGGATTTTCTCTCACATACCTGGATCGCTTCCCTAAACCTTAAATCCTAAACCAGAAACCCTAAATCCTAAACCGAAAGAGTCGATCATGCCAGGTCAAGGCAGCAGCTACGCAATTGCGTAGAGAAGCCTGGCGCCCATTCAGCCTGCAGTGGCTATTTACCGAAAAGTGGCCCCCCTTGGATATGCACATATATATACATATACATATCACATATATATATATGTATCATATATATACATATGTATACATCCCAAATGCGATGATCTCTATTGACAGGCTTTCATAGAAGGAGCTCATGCTGGGCAACCTTCATATCCGGTGCTAATAAGCTGTGTAGAGTTCGTTTTTTTGCGTCTGGATGGCATGAACCTGCATGTAGGCTCCCAGCCTTTCAGATTTCTTGGCTCCAAAGCTTACATCTGAAACCCCAAACCGCTCCAAGTCTGAGGTTCGTGCAAAGAGAAGGTGCAGAGCGAGCAGAAACTGAGGAGCTGCACTTTCTGTGGATTCGTCAGCTTCAAAGAGCTGAGTTTGTGCATGTAGTGGTTGCTCAAGATCATGTTGTTATACAATTTCTTTTCGGGTAGGGGTTTGTAGTGGAGGTTGTCAAATAAAATGCAATAGGGACTACAAAGAGTTTGCCGCTTAGAGAATGACCCATTCCGTTCCGAAGCTCCCATGTGCTTCTCGGCGAGGAGTTGCCCGAGAGCCGACAGGCAGGCACAATTCTGGCATCAACCTGGCCTTATTGTAGTCCTTATTTGGGGCTAAAAAAAAAGCTTAGGGGCCCGTTTTTTGGGGAGTCCGTTGTACTAGTCCCCATGACTCATTCCTCTTCTCAAACTTTTCATGGGTAAGCCTGGTCTTGCTTGTCTTGAGCCCTATACCCCTAAACCCCTAAACCTTAAACCCCTTAACCCCTAAACCCCTAAACCCCTAAACCTCTAAACTTCTAAACCTCAAGACAACGAATGGTCCAACTCCTCGGCTCGATTCATTCAGGCTGCGGCGATCGTGGGGCTTCTGCGAGTGCGGCAGCACAGGCATGTGAGCGACGCAAGGTGCCAAGCATTGTAGGTTTTCCAAAGATTGGAGTTCCCTTTTACACACCCTAATGCTACCTGGAATAGGGACCACCAAAAAGGGGCGGATGATGTTCAGAAATCCCAATGTGGCAACACAGCAGGCAGCCGTAGCAGTCCAGAAGCCTGCATGCCAGCAAACTTATGCTCCTTGAGGCCATGCGCAGGCAATTTCAGGATTACCTGCTTGTGTTGCGCGACGAGCTCGGATGAGTTGCCAACCACAGCTGAGGGACCGGTAGAGACTTGCAGAAACAAGCTTATTCACCCTTGGTTGCGAAGGGGGGAAGGGGTTGCAATGGGGGCTAGGGTTTAGGGTTTAGGGTTTTCCAGAATTTGAAAGAGAAATGATTTGTGCTCGTCATCCAGGTCTGTGTTCTCTCGGAGCTCAATGGCTGGCGCTGTCAGGCAAGATGCCAAGCATACCGCCTGATGGTCTCCTGCTAGCATCCATGTCCACAACTGGCCTCGCCCGTTGTCGCTGTGCAGGAACTTCAGATTCCGCACCTAGTGTGTCTATACTGTGGGATTTTGTGATAAGAGTAAGGGCAATCGCTGTTCGCGTATGGTGCTCGCGATCGGAATCGGTGGTAGTGCGCGGCTCTGTCATGTAGCGTCCGAGCAATCCGGGTGGAATCGCTTTTCCCGCGCAGTCAGAGGAGGGCCTGAAGGTTTCAAGGGTGGCTCCCGCTTAGACCACAGTCTGTACACGTTCTCTTTGTGAAGTGCAGGACTGCCATCGCTTTGAAGACTTGCTTTCAACCTCGTACCTGTTGTTGCTTGTGTATTCTCGAGGCCGAGATCTCCATAGTTGTTGTCGCATGTGTGTCTCTGCTCTCAGAGGGCTGTTTGTAGTGCTCTTGGAGTGGTCCCAGTGGCTATGGAGCACTCACTGTTACAGTAGTCTTGAAGTGCTCTCGCAAATGTTTTGCAATTGCTGTTGAGTCTTCTGGGAGTGCTCCGCAGTGTTCTTGGGGTACTTGGCGGGCTCTTCCAAAGCTCTTGAGTGCTCTTGGCGGCCATATGCTGTTTGGAGTCCACACCGGCGTGCATGATCGTAGGGTCTCGATGCCTAGACGGAACTGTTAATATATTCCGGTATTACCAAAAATTTCCTTACATAACATTTACATATCACATCATATCATGTACCTCCCCAATCCCCTGCAACCCCTAAAATCTCTTCACCATCAAGAGCGGCTTTTTGAAAGGCGAATCGCCAACGGGGTTGGAAGACCTGCCGCCATTGCCAGCAGAGTGGCAAGCCTGGTATGCTAGCGAGTGGTTTTAGGATGGAGGATGTAGGGATTAGAGTTAAGTCTGATGGATTTTGGCTAAACCCTAAACCCTACATAACCCATTATAGCAGTCTGCATTTTTTCCTCCAGGTTCCCCATATTTTATAACCCACCACAAACCAGAACCCTAAACCCTAAACCCTAAAACCCTAAACTCTAAACCCTAAACCACCCCGATATTTGTAACCCCCAAAACCAGAACCCTGTTTGACTCATAAAGATCAGCCCCAGGCTGGCGGCCGCAGATGCCAGAGGCCTTCTGGACCTTTGTCCCCTGGGGTTTGTCAACAGGTATTGGGGTTCTAAGGGGTTCTGTAGGGGTTCTATAGGGGTTATATTGGGGTTATTTGGGGATAATGGAGAAGAAAATAGAAACTATTATAATGGGTTATATGGGGTTTAGGGTTTAGGTTTGTCAACAGGGGGCATCTCAACAGAGGGTAGGCTAAGAGAATTCATGGGTTTTTGGTTTAGGGTCAGATCTTGTTTTGGGTGTAGGGATGCACCGGGACCATTAGGAGAGTATGGGAGCCTGCTTTTGGTGGCTTTGAGAATTTTCCCACTCTATACTCTATACGGATATATAGTCCCCTTAAGTAGATAGAATATGGGGTATATGGTTGTATTGTTATTATGTACCCAATGCCGTATTCTGTCTACTTCAGGAGGACTTTAGGAGTTCACAAGAAGTACGCAAGCGGTGTGTAGGAGATGATAGGGATGACATGTGCAGATTCTGTGTGTGACTGCTGCAACTCACTGTAGGTGGGGTACTAAGAGTAGTGTGTTATGGGTGGGGTTCAGGTTCTAAAGGAAAGAACCTGTTCCTTGCAAACTTGCGAAGTGGAGATCATTCAGAAAAAGGTGGGTTGGGCTCACGATCACTTTGCTGCCTAATCTTTCAGACCTCATCACGTCTGCGCCCCTCATCGTTTTTGCTTGTTTGGCACGGAGGCTCTTCCGCGGGCAAGAAGGAGGCATAGCTGCATAGCAGCTGTGAATGAACACGGTTTGGCATTCATGGGGTAAGATGTGTGGGGATACATAGGGTTGCAATGGGACATACAAGGATATAGCAGGTTTTGGCATATGAAATGTTTTGTTGATACAGTCTGGTGTTAAGGGCTCAGACCTTATTGCAGAGGAAGCGAAGGAGACGGAGGTGGACGATGCAGCCTTCGAAAACAACTTCTTGTGCTCACCCTGCTTGCACTTAAGCGACATGAACTTCCACTTCTCGCAGTTGCGCACGTGTATATCCAGCCATATTTTATATGTGCATTGCGCACATCTATCTGGACAGTAGTGTCCATATCTATCTTTGGTCATATTTACATCGATCTCTCTATTTCTTTGTCAGAAGCGTCAAGTCATCCCCGCTGAAGGTACAGAACCCTGTGCCAAAGTCTCCTGGAGCGAGCGTTCAAGCCTCAATTGGGTGCGGAAAGCTGGGGTGCTGCCAAGAAAACTAAGTCACCATACAATGGGCATCAACATATATGTATATAGAGTAGCTAGAATAGTTTCCACACGCAGAATTAAGGTCCTTAACAGCGACCCAGAAAACCTAGCTGGAAGGAAGGGATAGATGTAACATTCCGCTTCTGCTGCATGCAGAACTGCTAAGTGGAGTCCCAAAGAAGTAAGATTGCTTAAGACACTGCACAATCTGTATAGAACACGTATAGAATTATAACACCAAAAAAAATCCCCACAACTTGTATAACGCCCCTTTGTGACAAAAGCGCTTTTGCCAGTAGAAAGCCCCTTTATCGCCTGTGTCCCTAAACCCTAAACCCTCCCAGTTTTTGGGGATGCCGAGGCTCAAGCTCCTGAGTGAGATGCAGCGAGATGAACTGCTATCCCTAAAGCGGGCGCCACCTCCCCAGACTGCTCCCAGTGGATGTATGGGTTTAGGGTTTAGGGCACTTTACAGGGTTTAGGTTTTAGGGATACTGGTGAAGCAAATGGAAAATGAGATGGAAGAATGTAAAGGAAATTGCCATATTTAGAAGGCATTACACCGATAATGGAGAATCACTTAGAGACTGAAATTCAAACTGGGGTTAGGTAGGGATATAGGGGCTTACATGGTATCTTCACGTACTGCTCTGGTTATGTAAGGGCTCTAAGGACAGACACATTAGACCCCCGTGACTGCTGCGTAGCGGTGGGAGGCTCATTCGGCATCGAAATAGTCATGTCAAGCCCTACTACACTCCTCGCAAGCCTTCCCTCCCGCCCCAGGTTTCCCATCAGCTCGCCTTAATTTGTTTTAATTACCCTTAAATGACCTTAGTTAAGGGGGTGGGCAGTATTGGGGGAAGGGGGGGGTTTAGTAGGGGGAAACACCAAACTCTGAAGCCCAATCGGTCCCAGCCCTCAACCCCAAGCACGAAACCCCAAAGCCCTTAACTCCAAACGCTAAGAGACCCGAACCCTGAAACCCGAAGCCCCGGCCTGAGGTATGCAGCCGAACAGCGCATCGCGCTGCAGTCGACTTTGCAAGTTTGCATGTAAGAGCACTAAACAACTTTGATGAAAGTTTGCGTTAACTGCTACTATGACCGTTGCTAGTTGCCATTGCAATTCTTTTGGTCATCAGGGTAGTTATTTCCGCCGTTGAGTGTTTTGCTTGCGGTAGCTATGTGAAGCAGCGGAAGACAGATTTTGTTCGAGCGTTGCGTGGACAGCTGCTAGTAGAACTCTGGGTACCATGTCATCTTTATGGGCAAGCCTCTCCCTGTAAAATTGAACACCCCATCCCCCTAATGATAAACATTCCCCACATACTATCATTATACAAGAAGGGCAATAGCTATTCTTTATGGGGGATCTAGAAACCCGAAACCCCAAACTCCTTGACCCTAAACCCTAAACCAAAAAAAGGGGCCCCTGAGGAGGATAAGTAAGGTCAATCCCCCTACCGTAATTCATTCCTGGCACCCTAAACCCTAAACCCTAAACCTCAACCCAGCCTTCCGGCCTTCCTTCTTATCCTCTTTCCTGGATGCCAGGCACTTGTGCCAGTTGGAGACAGACCTGGTAGAGAAGGTGGGCTGCACCGTTCTTTCTATAAGTAGGGATAAGGGAAGAAACGTATATTATATAGGGATGAAATAGGGAACGTATTGCATTACTCCCTACTAACAACCAGTGAAAAGGCGGGATTTTCCAAGAATTAGGGATCCGTTTTTGGGGTCCGCATAGCAAGGATCCTAGTATATTGTGGTCTATAGGTGGCCCCGTATTTGTGGAAACTGCCATTCAAGATTTCGTGGCGGGCGGTTGGCGTGCCTGGGGTCGTCGAGTTGGGGTCATAAGATTATTGATCCATTCTGGGGGCTACCTTGATGGAGTCGTTGTTTAGCGGGATTTTCCATGGAGTTCTGATGATGCTCAATTGCAGAGCCTAGCATCTTCCATACTGGCGTAAGGAGTGGATACCACGAGGGCTGCTCATTTTGAAATCCTGCCCCTGAAATCCTTAAACCTGAAGCTCCGTGCCCCCTTAATCCTGAAAATTCCCTAAACCCTAAACCCTAAACCCTAAACCCTAAACCCTAAGTATCCTTTTGCTGGGCAGTGGCCAGGTAGTTCAGCAGGATCTTCAGGAGTTCGAGGTCCAGCTGGCCTCCCGCTTGCTCTCAGAATCCGAGCCCGATGCCCAAAGACAGCCTTAGACCAGCAATCCCACAAGAAATAGGGGGGTGATACAGGGGTGATACAGGGGTTATATAGGGGTTATATAGGGGTTATTTAGGGTTATATAGGGGATATATTGGGATAATGGACAATAAAATGGAAACTACTATAGTATATTGGGGGTTTCCCAAGTAAAAGGGGTACCCTTTTTGGGGTCCCCAGAAAAAGGACTAGAGAATTTTGGGGTCGATATTGGGGATCCCCCTATTTTGGGAAACTACCACATGTTGTACCCCTGAGGCGGCAAATTACGGAAGAGCATCAGCGGCAAGCTAGCCGAGCGATACCCTGAGCACTGGATGATTTCTGCCTTTCAACTTTATGTAGTAAGATGCGTTCTCACCACTTTGCAGCATAGTTTGGGTTTTCATCATGCTCACCTCTCCTTCAGGTGAACGAGGATGTTGCCAAACAGCTGGAGCAGTACAGGCGTCAAGTAGCAGAAGAGGACCAGGCGTCGACCTCCGCAGCTGTTCAAATGGATCAGAGAAAGGACCAAAGATCACAGAATCGACAGCAAGTCGCGCGGTCATGGCTCGCTGCAATGTCTGACTTAAGCTGAGCCTATCTTGCAGGCCACCGTGCGGGACCGTCACAAGTGGGTGATGAGCAGGACTTGGGGCGGTGCGCGACTGTCGTGGAAGCTGTGGCAGTTTTTTGACTCTTGCTCTTGAATTGTTTGTTGTGCCCGCTGTGATAGTATTAGCATGTGTTAGCTGGGGCTATAGGGCACAGAGTGAAGTTTCGCATCTGGTTGAGTGTACTTCTGTGCCAGTGCGCAACTCGCACAGGATTGTCTTTCTTCAAGCCAATGGAACTGTCAATCCAAATGACAGGCTTTGCGCGCAAGTGGAGAGTGACGCGTGATGTTTACTGCATGGGGTAGCATATACTTGTGGAGTTGATATGCAGGGCTCTCCTATCGCGTCTGCGCGCTGAGTTCCTTCCCCAGAAGATGCTGTCCGATGCCTGTGTCTTGTTGGTGTGCTTCGATGTCTTGCCAGGCTCCATGCATGCGACTCCAAGATTGATGCATTCAATGCTCTGATGGTTGGGGTCTCAGTCGTGCAGCTCCGCATGCGCTCTTTGTGGCTCAAAGTTTCAGTTCCGCCCCCTGCCATAATTTTGAGAAGACTCCTCATGCAGTCTCCACAGTTGGACCCACCTGATGGTGAACCCGAGTGACTTGAGGAACAGCTCATTGCGGTTCCAAGCCTTGTCACGTGGCTTGCTGAACAGTTCATGCGATGTCCCGGCCCAGCCAGTGGAGGGCTGCATGATAACTTGCGCTCTGCAGGGCTTTTGCACAGCTTCTCTCGAGTGGCTCAGTGTGGCAGCTCCCCAGCCTTTGCACGCCTCAGTCAGCTTTTGGCCCGAACCACCTATGAGGAACTTAGGATTGGTGAGCATGGACTTTCGCATACCTCGTGCGTATTGGTGTTGACGTGCCCCGGCTGAAGCTTGAGGATGTCAGGAGTATGTGATCGGTTCACGGTTCCTGGTTTGCAGTAGGTTGCGGATTGCCCAAGCTTTGGATGTTTTTAGATGGATTTCCTACCAGCTTTCAAAGAGCAGAGTCCAAAATTGCATCCGGAATTCAAGCTCTGGACAAGGTATGGAGGGTGGCAGCAGATTCTGCAGAGGAGGCAGGGCAACTGCAATGTTGAAAGAAAGGCTTAGCCGCAGCTTTGTTCTGCGAATCATGTGGAAGGGAAATGCAGCTGCGCAGATAGGAGCGGTTGAGACGAAAGGGCAGTGATAGCTCACGAGTCCCCTGTGTCAGACGGGCCGCATGACACCAGCGGAGAAAGCGGAGGCAAACGCAGGGAAGACGCAGAGACCGGTCATGATGCCTTCAACCGTGGGAAGGGTTCACGTCGGCCATGCAGTGTAGGTGTGTAGCTCAAAAGACATGCTTTGCGCCGGATCAAACGCATGCCTTCGGCGTGCGAGAGTGATGAGGCGTGAGACATCGAGCTGTGGCCAGTCTTCTTGCACGAGACAGTATAACCGCGGGTAAAACTCTTGCCTTGCATGCAGATGAACGATTTGACCACAACCGACGAAGAGGCAAGAGTAGAGAGCGAGGGCTGCAAAGAATAAAGCAGCCGTGTGATCAGCAAGTGTTTCTTGCTAGATCATCAGCGTGACGTCAGCCGAACCTTTGGAGGCCAGAGCCACTGCCACGCAATTCGCGTGCTCTTCCAGGGACACAGTAGCTGTGTGTCGAGTTCACTGTCAACGCATGGTGGGTTGAGCTCTTTGGCTCGCAGGATCCCGGGCGTACGACTCAGGCATGCCAGCCATTGCATGATTGTCTCAAACCTGTCATTCGGCCGGGCAGGTGCAGCGCAAAGCTATCTTCCTCAACCGGTCGGCCCTTGCCGATTGGTTCGCTGAGCGCACATGGGGAAGTGAATCATGAATTCCAGCAAAGGACGTAAGTTTCATTCATAATTTGTTATCAAGGCGAGCATGTTTATTGTAAAGGTTATATTAGTATATTAGGTTTAATATATAATCCAATGTAAATGGAAGCAAGTTGAATCCCCTGCCCCGAATAGTAAAGCGCTTCCTCCAAAAAAGTAAATAGTCGCCCGGCCGGAAAGTATTTAGTATGAGGGGTGGCTTTTTTAATTGTAAGGGTTATATGGGGGTTTACTGAAAAATAGAGCAATTGGATATCAAAAAGTTGATTAAACACAAATTCGAAATGAGCATCAAATATCAACTAGTTCAAAACAATAAAAAGCAGTTAAAGAGGAATTACAAACAGTCAAACACAGTGAAACCTAATTTCAAAACTAATTAATCAGTTAAAACTTAATGAGCAACACATTTCAGCCCATCAGATTTTTAAGAAGAACCTAAACACGAGTGAAAACTAATTCAAAACAATAACGAAACGCGATTTTTAGAATCAATTAGGCGCAGCACAAAGGGGAAATACGAAAACTCGTAAACTATTAGTTAAAGCTATTCAAAACAGTCAATGCTGAATTAGATAAAAAAACAAGCTGCATTAGAAAGGTTAGGTATTAGTTAAATACGAAATTAAAACAAGCAAAAATCCAAATGGTAAAATTATGTTCAGTCCCGGGCGCTTGAGAGGTGCTTACAAGTGTCAATTGGAAGATAAGGGGAAACTTGACGTTCACTTCCTAACACGGGAGAGTGACGCAGGAACTGGTCTCCAAGAACTTTAGTTGAGGGCAACGCCCAGAAACCTGTCAGGTCAAAAAATTCTATGCCAGCAGGCGCTACACTGTGGAACGTCATCGATTAGAAGATCAAAGGATCTATCCGGAAGCTCGAACCTGAAAAAGAAGCCTTGCAGCTTGTGAGGGGTCCGCGCGTGCTTAAGCCTGGGAAGCTTGTTGGTCAGTCAGAGCAATCAATGCCTCTTCTCAGGCACCGGCACGCTCTGCGACTCCAGACCAGGGAGGGGATGTTTCCTCTCGCCGGCCGCCCTCCTCCGGACGGAAACGTCGGTCCTCGGATGAGCTTGCAGCCGCCGAGGTGCCAGGTACCACGCATGGCCTGCCGGAGGAGCCATTGCCCCTGGGGCTTGCCGCCCTGGGCCTCCGCCCAAACCGGGCAGCAATGCCCTTTGGCCGTGAGTCTCCAGACTTCGGTGTGAAAGCACCGCCCCACCCCATGGACTGGGCCTTTAACTCGCCGCCTCCGCGGCACAGCCTGGGAACACGTCTGAAGGCAGACTACCTGGTGCCGAAAACCCCGTATGGCATGCAGGATGCTCCAGTATCTCAGGCAGGATTCGAGCATCTGTGGTTTTGTAGAAATGTTTTGTCTTCACGGCAGGTGGGGGACCTGGGGCCAGCAGGTTGGGCTCTCGGGCAAAGCTTCCGCGACATCATGCTAGAAATCTGGAGTCCGGAAGGTTCGCCGCCTCGCCCACCCATGAAGATGCAGGGAGCCCAAGACTGCAGGTCTATTTTTTTGTGAATTTGCTTGGGTTGCCCAAGTCTGCTGAAAGCCTCTCCTTGCCTTCGTGAAGGGTTGCTGCAACGCTTATGTTTCCATAGCTTGGGCAGGTCGCCTTCAACCCGCACGCGAACAACCCGTTTGCCTCCAGTGCCGCTTACCGCGCGCTGAAGTCGATGGCTCAGGCATCCTGCTCGAAAGTGATCAAGGGGATGGTGGAGCACCTTACCTTCAGGCAGTTGACAGTGAGTCAAACTGAGAAAGGCAGGCCCGCAGCATGGGGCAGGTTTTCACAGACACAGGACATGGGTTTGGATCGTCTGCGCATCCGTGAAATGGGTGCTGAGCTGCACGACTGCCCAAGTCAATGTTTTTACTGAATACGCGCATGGACATAAAAAGGCCGGACAGCCAGTCGTTGCACCAATGCCCAGTTTGTGGGTCTTAAGAAGTGCTGTTCACCGCTGTGGCAGGGTCCAGCCCCCAACAGTTAGTTCTCCATCAGCAGATGGAATATTCAGGATGAAAATCGCAGACGGTCGGCTTCACAGTTTTTGCTTTGAGGGGTTTTGACCTTGAAGCTGGCGATGGGTGGTGGGCCCCCAGGGCAGGGGACTTTTTTCAAAGATGATAGGGCCTTGGCCTGGGGGCTCCTGACAGATAGACCACCCGAATCGCAGTATGTACTGCTTTGAAAGGACTCAGGGCACAGCTGCGTCCAAGCAACAGGCCTTCGCTGATTGTTCAGCCCCAGTTTTTTGAAGGATCATGCTGTTTGAGGCTGCATTTCATGGGACCCTAGTCTTGAGAAACATCACCTTTTAAATCTTAAATCCTAAACTGCTCATCATTGGCTCAAGCCTAGAGTGCCTGCTTGCTTCCTGCCGCGGTTTGCGTGGCCCGGGCCACATTCTGCATCTACTTCCCCTCTCTATGGCACCTGATCTAAACGCACATCTGAGTAGTATTTAATTTTGGGATACTATGGTACCCAACGCCGGATTCGCATGACCGACTGACGTCCGTGAATAATAATACTATGGTACCCATTATAGAGTAAGATTATATCCTCCTTTTGGGGTATGGTATTTTATGTAAGGAATATACTCTTACTAGGTTCAACCACCAAAAAAACACTACTCATCTGAGGTTGGGCTATCGATCGGGGGCGCTCCCGGTGGTGGAGATGCCCACCTCTCGGCTTCAGCATTTTGTGTAGTCTTTCATTTGGGGATACTGTGGCACCCTGTTTTATATAAGGAATATTATCTTACCAGGTTCAACCACCAAAAAAGCAATACTCATTTGTGACGCTTCTTGGTGCGGGTTGTGAAGCCGGACTTAGGGCATACTTCTGGGCCGAGGGCCGTGCCAAGGCGTCACACTCAGAATTGGAGCATGTGGGAGTTTCCCCAAAGGATCCGTAGAAAGTTCCTGACAAGGATCCAGAATCAGAATTATGATTGCGATGCAACCTCCTCATATTTGCAGGGTCTCAAGGGGTGTCCCCCTCTCGGGAAACTCCCATTTGAGATACGTGAGGGCAACGATAACCTGAGCTTCTCGTTCAGGATGGGTCAAGAAGATGGCGTCGGTTCAGATGCCAGGCAGTCCAGGGTGTGATTTGTCCTGCCGCGGACATCCTCGGCGGAATCTGTCAAGCAATGCATCCACCGGTTTTTGCTTCAACTTCGTTGTGGTTCATCCTCCCGCGGCCCAACTCGGCGAAACCTGATGTTCCGGTTAGTGAGAAGCTTCACCTAACATGTGAAAAAAGATCTATTACGTTGTCTTACGAGCAGTCCACATGTTACGCAGCCACGTGAACGTGCCTTCGAGCCCGGGGAGTCTCCGATCGGGTGCCAAGTTTTCCCCAATTGCTCCACCAAAAGCAGGAGCCCACGAGCCCTCGCAGCTGGTCCGTCGAGGTGGAGTGTGGCTTACCTGGTCGTAGGCTGCAGACAGTGTTTAGGGTACAGTACGAAGATGTTAAGGTTCAGAGTGAAGTGTGTTGCAAGTCTCTAGCTGTTTGGGGTGTAGGAAGTGTTTCAGGTTCATGTTTAGGGTTTAGGGTGCAGGGCTTGTGGTGTAGGAAGCGGGTAGGATTTTTTTCAGTTGCAGGTTGTGGGGTTTAGGGGTCGCTACAGTGATTAATATGAGGTTCTTGAGAATGACCCCCCTCCAGCAGAGTTCCTGGCGGACCAATCTCGAAATAAAAGTCTTGGAAATGGGGTGGGGTCGTTATGAAAGACTCTGGAGTCTCGGATGTCTGACATGGGCGTCATGGGTACGGTGGTAGTCGTGAGAGTCGGAGAAGGGGAAGGAGGAGCAGGAGCGGATTTGGATTTTAAATTGACTTCAAATGCGAACCATGATTTTTGCGGATTTTGGGGCCGGTTTTTTGTTCCCACGCCTTTAATTATAACATACCCCCTGAAGCCAACATAATAGGCTATGTCAAGAAAAACATTAGGTTCGCAATTCAATCAAGTTCAAAGTCCCAAATCTGGGGTTTTCTCCGGCCCAGGGTTTTTTCTTACAACTTCCTTGACAGTAAGAGCTATTCAATGGGACTAAAAGCTATCCAGACCTGGGCAGTTACACGACATGGCAGGGTTTCTGTCCAGAAGGCTTTACCTTAGCTAGTGTCATGTACGGGTCTGGAACATACTAGGTCATAGCACCGCACGTTGCTTGGGTATTGAATTATAACAAAGTCGAAGGACCGGTCTCCAATGCTGAGTTCATTTGCTTCACATGTAGATTTGATCATTTGCTGAAGGTTGAAAGCTAACGCCATTCAGAGTCTGACTTGATTCAGACACTGCGTTTCAGTGATTCAGGCGCCCCAGGCAAACCCAAACTATGCCAACCACATCCCTTTGACGTATCGCACGCTGTTAAGCTTACGCGGCCCCGCTTTCTGCACACTTTCTTCTACGAGCAAGAAATTCTCAGGCTCACGATGGTAGTTTGGTTCGCTTTTTGAGTCCAAATCAAAACTTTCTGTCTTTTTTCATGTCTTAGCTTTGGAATGAGGACGTGACATTCAGATGCTACCAACCTACTGTTGCATCCTGGTGTAGTCTGCTTACGTGGTCGAGTGGAATCATGACCTTGCAACGCAGACTCTGTTCAGTAATGGCTGGTTTTGTGTGATACAAAACAGAGCCAAGACCACATCTTTACTGAAGTCGCTCTGTCAGCCCCCTGAATGTCTAGGATCTTGAAAGGCACTACAGCAGTCACATGAGCTCCTTGTATACATATAGATATTTTCGTATCTGTGTAGATACACACACATATACTTTATGTAGCCCCATCTACACCCAAAAGGAGCATCAAATATCAGCTTGCTGCTTTCTACCCTTGCTCCCCGCCAGACCTGGGTGGAACATCCACAGCGCGAGGCCAGAGACATGACAGTTTTGGGGTTTAGGGTTTAGGGTTTGGGGTTTCAGGGTCTTCTTGGAGGGTCAGGAGGACCTAGTCAGTATATCTATAGGGACCCGGAACCCTAAACCTGTATTTACAGTCCTATCACCAACCCGTTTAACAAGCCACAGTCATCCCCACTATTGCCCTTCTTACTGAGTCTCTTGACCCGCCCAAGTAGGGTTCCAGTTTAGCAAGGGTTTAGGGTTTAGGGTTCAGAGTCGTGGTCTGCTTATCAGAGCAGAGACCATATGAGCTACAGTCTAAAGTCCTTAAAGGGGGTTTTATAGGGAACGATTATAGCGGTTATCAAGGGGGATACTAGGAGTTTAGATTGTAGATCATGTTTGTAGGAGATATCTGCCATCAAGGGAGGATTGGTTTAAGGTTTAGGGTTGATTAGGGTTGGGGCCTGTGGGGTTTAGTAGGTCAAAAAGGAATATATTCTACAGGGACTATGTGGGGATTATATTCCCTTATTCCCTCTTAGCCCCCCGCAAGTAACCCGTAGACCTTCTGGAGTCCAAGGATCTAGGGTAGAAATCCTCAAGCCCAAATCCTAAACCCTAAACCCCAAACCGTAAACCCCAAACCCCAAACCCTAAACCCTAAACCCTTAACCCTAAACCCTAAACCCTGAACCCTAAACCCTTAACCCTTAATCCTTAACCCTAAACCTTAAACCCTTAACCCTAAATCCTATGTGTAGAGGGCTGAAATGAGATGCCCCCCCAAGCTGCTGAAGTTTATGGTTGACATGGGTGGTTGTCATAGGAGCCATAGTCTAAACTCCTTTTAAGGGGGGTCATATAGGGTTTAGTGTTTGGGGTCTCAACTCCATAAAGGGGGTTATATAGGCGAGTATTGTAGGGCCTATTAAGGGGGATACTGGGAGTTCAGGCTACAGCTCATTAGCATGCATGTTGGACAAGGTGATGGGTTTGCAAGTTCAGTTTCTGAAAGTAGCCGTGGGTTGTACTGCTGGCTTTTCCAGTGTGAACTGTAGGCTGCCAGCTCTCCAGCACAGATGTCCATCCCCTTCCCGATTCATCTTGGCACGGCGGTAGCCTGGCAATTAGCTGTGACTCTGCTCAAATCTGATTGGCCTATTACATGCCCAGATTGTGTCGCGTGTAGTCTCATGATGAAAAGCCGATGGCGCAGAACATGTGCAAACCACCGACAAGCCATAAGATGTTGGAGCCAGCTAGCGCCATCTGTGGGGAGCCAGCAACGAAGATTACACAGATATGCAGAATGTGTTGGTGCCGGCTTAGTGAGACTGAATGATGCGGGCTGGCATTTAATCCCTGCGCCTGACATTTTGGGAGGCAGCCCCAGCTGACGGCCCGATGATTGCAGGGGGCTCGTTGGAACGGTAACAAAAGTCATGAGAATGTACTCAGATGCTAATTCATGTAAGAGGTCGAGAAATGTTAGTGTTGGTGACTGCTAGCGACAGCATTTAAGTCAGCAACAGTAATTTGATTCTCAATTGTCAAAGCATATAATTGAGAGTCTTCGACAGTGCGATCTTGTGCTACACGAAGAGGAGACGGGAGGAAGGGACTATGACTTTGACGACTCCATGTTGGCGAAGCTGCATTTTTCTGGCCAAAACCTGGGTTTGATATGCCAATTGTGCAAAAAAGGCAGACAAAGACAAATTTCCGAAATTGTAGATTCCTTTTCAAGGGTTGTGCCGTAGATTGTGGAAGGCACAGGTTTATACACTT